AGGCAGTGCAATGAGAAGCAGGAAATAGAGCCCACAGCTTGCCTGTGGTCACTGCAGGCATGCGTGTCCAGGCAAACGCAGGTATATGTGTGTATATGTGCATGGTGTGTGTTTCTGTGTGGATTTGTGCACTTGTGTGCCTGTGTATATTGGATTGTGCATGCCTGCATGCGTTGCTATGTGTGCACATGTGCATTGGGCTGTACGTGTCTGTGCATGTGTGAGTGTGCACGAGAGCTGCGCTGTGTGTTGTGCCTCTGTGCGGATCTTCCGCCTGCCTTGTTTTCATGGCAGCAGCCTGCACACGTGGGTGTGGGGCCTGCTGCCTTCGCCGCCCCTACAAACTCAATCCCAGATCCTGGAGGAAAGCCTGCAACAGCAGAGCCCCCCAGCCTGGCACCCCGAGGCTGGGGAGCTGGCCCTGGCGGGGCCACGCGGGGCCTGCTGCCTGGGGCCAGGCCACCCTCTGAGCCCCCAGTCTGAGTGGGGCTTCCTTGCCATGCTCTGCTCCCGTCCTAAAGGCTGGGGTGGGTGTTGGGTGGCCAGCCTGCCCTGCAGAGGAGGCTGCATGCCCTGCCCTTCGGAAGTCTTGTCTGGGCCTGTCCCTCAGTTCCTGGGCTCCTTTCCCTTTCAAACTGCGGTCTGACATGTGTTCACAGGCCTCAGGGTCTCAGCCCACTTCCAGGCAGCCACATGCAGTGTCCGGCTGGCAAGACCTTTGCCCTGTGACCCTGCTACCTGTGTCAGGCGCTGGGGCTTCCTGCCAGGACCGATTCCCCACCTGCCCTGCCCCACACAGGCCTTTGCAGACATGACAGAACAGGAAGCTGCTCTGAGTCTTCCTAGGGGAGGCTAGGGGAGCTTGGGGGGTGGGGGGGATGGCGGGAGGGGGCAGGGCTGATGTACTATGTCATTCCGCCCAGGGAGACACGGTGCTGATCTGCCCGACAGTGCCCTCTCCTTTTTAAAATGATTTCGCAAACAAACAAATGAGAAAAAAACTGCTTATTGTAAAGAAATGTCACTGACTCCCTGTGTGGCTTTTTGTGTCTCCCTGTTCAGTCTCCTGGGCTGGACCCCGCTCCCTGAGGTCAGGGTGGGTTTCCCAGTTCCATATTGCCAGCCAAGCTGCAGTAGCCAAGCTCTCTGCAGATGCGTGTTGCTGTTGCTTGCTGCTGTCTGGACCCGTGAAGGTGACCTTAGGGGACAAGCTCACTCCTGCTGCTTGCGAGGTCCCAGCCGCCAAGGCAAGGCCTCTGCTATCACCTGGTGGTGAGTCTTGGAATTGCAGGGGTCATCTGTGGGTAGGCCAACCCCCCCCACCCCATCCCCCACCCTCCCACCCCGACCTCCTTCCCAGAGTATCAGTCCACCAGCCACGTGAACTGGCGAGGACAGGAATCTGATCCTCGGAAGGGTTGGTAAGCCTGCCCAAGGTCCTGTGGCAAGCCACCAGCAGAACAGGAAGGACTAGCTTGTTTTCCTCATGCCTCCTGACCTACAGGTTAGGGGGTGACACTGTGACACCCACGCATGGAGGGGTTCACAGTCCTGCCTTTGAGGTCAGGCAGACGGGGTGAGTCTGGATGTCGCCAGTGGGGAGCACAGGCGAGTGACTCAGCTTTGAAACCTGGATGTCTCCCCCAACAGCAGAGCCCTTTGCAAGTTTCTGGGAGGGCTGAATCAGGGCCACCAGGCTCTAGTGCGGTCGGCACGGCCCTGGCACACAGTAGGTGCTCAGTTCATTCTTTTCCCTCTACTGCGCTGCTGCTCAGGTGCAAATGAGGTTCCGGGAGGGGCACGTGGCTCGTGCTTGCTCCAAAACTGCGTGACTATGCTCAGGTCTCGTGGTGGGCAGGGTGAGAGGCGGACGCTGGGGAGGGAAAGCAGCTCAGGGGGACCTCTGCCCCCTCACTGCCCCACCTGTGGAGGCGGCCACTGTTACTCCAGCGTCTCCTGAGTAGGCCCAGCCGTGGACCTTGCCTGGGGAATCACTGAGAGCGTGGGCTCCCGGCCTCCAGCCCTGCATACCCCCATCCGGGGGGCCTGGGTGGGGCCAGGAGCCTGTTTGCACAGCATGCTGGCTGGGCCCCAGGGGCATGTTTGGGGGACACTGGCCACCCTCATCTTTATGGCTTTTGTAGTGGGGACAGCCACGTATCGGGGACTGGGCAGGGCCTGGCTCTGGTAGCCCGGACTGAGGAGGGCTCCCCAGGGGGACAAGTGACTAAAGGTGGATGAGGTGAGGGCCAGGGAGGGCCAGCCAGCGGGGACGCAGCAGCAGGCCGTGGGGACCCCGCAAGCACACAGGTGATGCACTCCGGGCCTCACACCAGGTAGACAGAGGTGAGCGTAAAGAAGGAGGGGGAGGGGGAGCAGACAGTCCTCTGGGTTCAGTTCTGCCTGTGACAGCCCAGGGGACTGATTTCGGGCAGGACCATCACAGTCAGGGGACCTCTGATGGCGTCAGACTCCCCCCACCCCGGAGCTGGAAGAGTCACTGTGTGGATCTGGGGAAGTCGCGGAGCCTTCTATGGGGAGGGGGAATTCCTCTCAACTCCCCTGCCCGGGCTGGGCCCTGACGCTCCCTGCAGATCCCCAAGGAGTGTAATCCAGGATTCTGTGAGCCTACTGGCACTGTCACCAGAAGGCCCACCCTGCCAAAGCTGTGCCTTCATACCTGTGGTAGTCAGGTCACAGATGCGCACCTTGAACTGTACAAGTTCATGGCCTCACAGTCTGGAGGCTGGAAGTCCAAGATCGAGGCGTCTGCAGGACTGGTTCTTCCTGAGACCTCTCTCCTCGACTTGCAGACAACTGTTTTCTCCCTGTGTCCTCGCGTGGTGGTCTGTGTGCGCATGCGCGTGCGTGTGTACGTGTGTGCGTGTGTGTCCTAACCTCTTCTTATCGGGACACCAGTCATGTTGGATGAGAAGCCACCCTAGTGACCTTCCCTTCATTTAATCCCCTTTTCAAAGACCCCCTCTCCAAATACAGTCATATTCTGAGATGCTTAGGGCTTCAATGTGGGGGGACACCACGCAGCCCATGACGGGGCCTAAACAAGAACCGCAGGGACTACAGGACCATTGGCATCTAACAACAGCTCCGTCACGGCCCAGACCCGGCAGGACTCCAGCCCCGACTCCTGGTGCGACGGCGCGCCAGGCTGCGCAGAAGTAAAGGCGTCTTCTTAGGACGCCGGTCTGAGGAGGACCCGGGAGGAGCAGGAAGCTCAGGGTCTCTGAGCTTCCCAACTCTCTGGCCCTGGCCCCCCTCCCAAGGCCATTTTTACCCCCTACACGAGGTACCCCACGGCTTCTCCGGATGTGGATCAACTGGCAGGACTTGGGGGGGGCCTTCCTGTTGGAAGGAGGGGGCGCATGAGGGTGGGAGGGAGTCTAGGGAGACTCCCACAGGGGTGAGGACCCTTCTTTAGATAGGGGCCAAACCTAGAGTGATAAAGAAGACCCAAGGGGTGTGTGTGCACGCATTGCTTTCCACTTAAAGTGACAGCGCCCTGTTTCACTGCATGTTGAACAGCGATCACTTTTGGAAATTTTTTCTCATGCGTTCTGCCTTCTGGGTGTCCGTGCTCTCCCAGGGGGCGCGTGGGCAGCACCCCGAGGGCTGCCTCCTAGGCTCCATCAGCGTCCCCAGCGCCCCCGCCTCCAGCCCCTGGGAGGGGCCCCTCGCACGGCCTGACCACGCTGGCAGTGCCCATCCGGCCACAGGGTCAGCTGGCTTTCCATTCCTGGAGGCTGCCCCTGGCCACCACCTCACCCTGTCTGTGGTCCCTGTGCGGCTGGCAGGGCCCCCGGCCGCGCTACCCCCTCCCGAGGCTACAGGCCCCCTGCCCTCATCTCCCCACCTCAGGGCGTCCAGTGAGAAGGCCTCCGGCTCTTGGTTGGGGGTGCTCAGCTCTGTTCTCCCAAGCCCCTGAGGACCCCGCACCTATTTCAGGGAGGGGAGGCAGCGTGAGGGGCGCCTCCCACACCGGGAGCCAGAGTGCGGTGTCAGATAGAGCTGGACACGTTCTGACCACTCTGGGAAGCCAATTCCCATCCCTTAGGAAGCGATGGGGCAGGAGCTGTAAAGTTCAGCCCCCGGGAGCCCAGAGAGAAGGACCCCAGAGGGAGGGTGGGCACAGCCAAGAGGGCGCAAGTCTGGCACCCATTCCTGTTCCCTAGAAAGCTGGGGCGGGGACTGATGGTGTCCCTCACGCCTCCCCAGCCCCTTCCCTCCTCCCTCCATCCCTCTGGGTCCTGAGAACCCTCTTCCTCCTGCAAGCTGGGTCCAGGGACTGACCCGCTCATGGAGAGACAGAACAGGAGCAGGCGGCGCCCTGAGCCCCTCCTCCACGACTCTCCATACTGCCCCGATGGAGACAGAAGGGCCACCAGACTGCAAGTTGCTTGTGTCACCTGCTCTTTATTGACTGCCACGGCTGCATTGTCATGGGCGACCAGATGCCCCAAGAGTGTAGTACAGACAGGAAGGAGGAGGGAGAGCGGTCTGAGAGAAGTGGGCTGCTGAGGGCCTGGGTGCACGGAGCCTCTGACGGACGGACCTCGGGGCCCCAGGACCTGTGGGCAGGCACGGGGCTCGGTCCTGACGCAGCACCCACTGCCACGGGTCAGAGGCACCTAGCCGGGAGTCGTCTGAGACGACTCAGCAACGGTGTTCTTCTTCTGCCCTTTCCGTCAGCCAAGGCAGGCCTGTGTCCCCCAGGGGGACGGGGCTATTGTCTAAAGGCGGGACGGCTCTCACTCCCCCCAGCTGGCTGGTGTTGGGATCCGGGTCATCCCAAGTTCACAGCGTCCTCAGGCCGAGGCCCCAGGCTCCCCAAGCTACTCTCACAAACCCTTGTTCCTTCGAAGAAGAGAAAAAGAAAACAAAAAGGAGGAAAGAGAAGGAAGACAAACGCCCTGCCTTCTGGGGCCCCCCCCGATGGGTGGGAACGGGGGCAGCAGTGGGCGGAGTGGAGGCTGAGGCCAAGCTTAAGCGGAGGGCGCAGAGCCGGACTTCTCCTCCCTGGACACGGGGATGGCACGCTCACTGTGCCCGGCATCCATGCCGGACGGCACCTTGGGGCCAGAGAAGGTCAGCATGCCGTCGGCGGACAGGGAGCAGGACAGAGCAGACTGGTCCACGTTGGAAGGCAGGCGGTAGCGGCGGTGGAACTCGCGGGAGATGTAGCCACGGTCGTCCTGGGGGGGGGTTGGGGGAGGCACCGTCAGAGATGCCACTACCGCGTGGCTGCCGACCCCACATGGAGCACACGAGGGTCCAATAAGAGGGTCCAACCCTCCGCCGCAGTCCCGGGGCTGGGCTCCTGCTGAGGTTTCCCCTTGGGCCTCCCCCGGGCCCATCGCTGCCATGGAGTTGGCTCTTCAGACCAGTTTCACTCTGAGACCTCACGAATGGTTCCGTTCCTGACTGTGAATCAGGGTTTCCCTTCACCTGTGACCCCACAGACCTCTCAGGCTCGGGGTCCCTGCAATCCCTGTCTATCAAGGGGGTCAGAAAGCCCTGCCTGAGCACAAGAAGGCTCACCGCTCCTAGACAGGCCAGTCCAGACTCAGCCCTGGCCCCATTCCCTCCACCTCCAGGAGGAAGGGCTGAGAACCCACAGTGGGGAGCAGTGTCCTGGACTCTAAACAGCCCCCCCGGACTCTATGCCCCTTCCCCTCCCCCCACCCCCACCCCAGCCAGGAGAAGCTGGCCCTGCCAGCCTCTCCGCTTCACCACTTCACTTGGGGACGCCCCTGCCACTTCATATGGGGACGCCACATGCCTGCAACCACCTGCGTGTGGGTTCTTCCCGGCCCTGCCTGAGACCTTACCCCCGCAGCTCCAATTCCTGGGCTCCCTTACCCCCACCCCGCCCTTCCTTGTCCCGGCTGTGGGACTGGGTGGGCCTCGGGCCTCCCTGCTCCTGGCCGTGCCACCTGCCAGCTTGAGATGATGGGGCACTCGCCGTGCGGGGCTGCGGAGAGGCGAACGTGTCAACAGACGTAAAGCATCTGGAGCACTGACAGACGCAGCTATGCTGTCTGTCGTCACAGCTCACCCTCCAAAGCAGGTCCTTGCGGAAACCGTCAGGGGCTAGGAGCTCGCCACCCCGGCGCTCGACACTTCTTGGCCTCCTTCCTCATCCCACCCCATCACACTGGTGATTTGGACGAATCCAGGGACAGCCTCTTCCGTTTGCCCAGCTGCTGGGGCGTGCAGGGGGCTCAGGGGCGACCTCCCCATCCCTGGGAGGCAGCTGTGCTTAGGTGGACCCGGCTCACGCTCCTCTCCCCACCAACCCCTGCCCTGGGCCTGGAGAAGCGCCCCTCTCCCCGGGCTCCAGAGCGCACGAAGGCGTGCGGGCTCACCTGCCTCTCGCTGTGCTTGCCGTGGATCTCCACAAAGTCCTCCTGCACCTTCACCGTGAGGTCCTCCGGAGCGAAGTGCTTCACGTCCAGGAAGATGGAGAACTTGTCCCGGTCAGACCGGACCTGAAACCCAACCACCCTCATGTGGGTCGGCTAGGGCCGAGGCTCGGGGGGCGGGGGGAGCTCTGGTCCCTGCCCGGCTGGCCAGAGGGGCAGCCCCTGTGGAGTGGCTGGTGGCTCCAGCCGCAGGTCAGAGCTCAGGCTCTCCTGACACTCTCCCAGGGGACCAGAGTCCCAGGGAGTCCTGACAAGGGGCTGTGTGGCTCCTCAGGGGACAACCAGAGCCTGGGGGGTCCAGGCAGTGGCATCTGCTTGGTTATAGCTGGGCAGCTGTTGTGGGTTGGCTGGCTGGCTGGTTATAGGTTGGCCGGCTGGTTGGGTGGGTAAGGCTGACCGGCTCGCTGGCTAGACTAAGGCCACTGCCCTGGCTTCCCCTTATCTCTCCATCCGCAGCCCGGGGCCATCCTTTCACACTGACTGGTCCGCCTGACGGCCCACAAGGTTGCCGCCAACTGAACTGCGCACAAAGCACTTTCACACGCCTCGTCTCACATCACTCACGCAGGGGTTTGTGTGGGCCCTTCGGGCCCCCAGTGTGGATGGCGTTGTGTCGGCTCCAGGTGGGCCTGTGTGTGGGCAGTGGGTGAGCGAGACCTCGCGCCTCCAGCACTCTGGGCCTGGGGTCGGCCTCGGCTTGGGAAGGAAGACCCGGGGCCCTTGCTGCCTTCCCCTGGGCCTGGCCTTGGGCACCCGGGCAGACGGGGATGCGCCCTGACTCTGTGCATCTCTGCTGGCCACAGGGGGTTTCAGGGAGGAAGCCCCTGGCCTGGGACCCTGGGCCGCGCACCCCGTGCCCAGGCTTCCTGCAGAAAGGGGAGCGGCACAGCCACTGAACACACAGCTTGTGCCTGCCATCCAACTTGCCTTGGTGGGGTTGTTCTTGGGGCTTCCAGCATGTGGCTGGTGCATAACAAACCACATATGGGCCATGAGCTGATGGAGGAAAAGACAGCGGTCGGGCTCAGGCGGGCTTCCTCTCCTGACCCCCGAGGCACAGGAGCTCTGCCGTGGGGATACCCACCCAGCCTCTGCGTATCAGGAGGACTTGGGGTGAAGAGGAAAGTGGCCCCGCAGCTGTCACCATGCAAGAGCTCAGGGGTTCAGGGGCCCCTGCTCCAGGGCCGGCCCAGCCCTGCCCCAGACCAGCCGGCCTCACCTCGGAGATGCCGGAGTCCAGCACGGTGCGGAAGAGGGACTGACGGTAGTAAGGGCTGATGGTGGAGGAGAGGAAGGGCAGCAGGTCGTACTCCAGGAGGCCCTCGCCGAAAAACTGGTCAAACAGCCGGCTGGGGTAGAAGGGGCCCAGCGTGCGTTTGAACCAGGGATGCTGGATGGCGATGTCCATGCTGGGCGTCGGCACTGCAGGAGCCTGGGCTGGCGGGGACTCAGGCCGCGGCCTCTGGGCAGCGAGGTGGGGAGCCGGGGCTCAGGCCCTCCCTATATACTCCTGGGACAGAATGCAGGCACGAGGGGGCTTTGGCTGGAAAGCAGGAGCTCATGAGGGAAGCTGTCCAGTCAGCAGAAACATGGCCCTGGCGGAGAGCCCACCACGCCCAGCCCTGGGCGCTGAACCAGCACAAAGCGCCAGACACTAGGCAACGGCACCCCCAAGGGGCGCCCCTCTGTGCAGCCCTCTGCCGCCGCTCGCCTGGGGGACAGTGAAGGCTCATCTCCCATTACCGGCGAGGGGACAGCTGTCTGCCTACGTGGTCCTGTGTGATCCCATGGCCACCCTACCTGTGGGTGCTCATACGCCATGTCACAGACAAGGAAACTGAGGCACAGAGGCTGGACAAGCGGTCCTCAAACCCCACAGCTATTAGGTGAGGGCACATCATTATTCCAAACAGAATCACTCCATCACTTCTTCCTGCTAACAAAAAGTATGCACAGTTGTAAAAATCTCAGGAAAGGCAGAAAACACCAAGCCGTAAAACGTGCCTGCTGTGCAGCACCGGGGTCTGTGCACATCCAGACAGGCAGGCGAGTTCCCTTTCACTAACACGGAGCCCGCCCCCAGGCTCTCCTGCGCGGGCCCACCCTGGCGTCAACCCTGCTAACGTGTCCTCTCCTGGGCATGACGTCCCATGAACCAGGCGCCCCATCAGGCCTGCGACTCGTCCTTGCCGTTGCCATTATGGGCAGGGCCTGGCTCCTCATTGGCTTCTCTCTCTGGTCCTGTCCACTCATCACTCAGGACATGTCCCCAGAAGGCACCCATGACCCGTCATTTTTCAGGCTCTTGATGTTTCGCAGTGTTAAGGTGTCTGATGTTGTCCCGCAGCGTGGCCTCTGGGGAGCATGACACTAGCCCACACGTACCCACAGCGAGGGAAAGGCCGTTCCCACACCGCTTACGAGCTGGCTGTGTGCCGGCGGCTGCAGACGGTGAGACGTGTCTAACTCATCTCCGTGCCTGCCCTGCTCAAGCCTTGCCGGTGGGGCACGCGCACCCGCGAGGCAGCAGGGACCTTCGTAAACTCATCTCTCACCGCCGGCCCGGGAAGAGCAGGCTCACCCAGCGTTCAAGCAGGATTGCGTCTGACACCTCGAAGATGGAACCGGTGTTTAAAGTGCAGGTTTCAGAGCGTCCCTGTCACCTCTCCTGTCTAGCTGGCCGTGCTCCGTACCAAACCCTCCCTCCTGCGTTTCTGAGCGCCGGCCTGGTGGTAAAGGGCCCTGAAAACCTGGAAACGCCACCTTTGCCCTGCAAGTCTGTTATTTCAGGGAGCCATCCCCCAGTGCGCCGGGCAGCAAGGGCCAAATTAGGGTGCAGATCACCAATGCCGTGGGGGCGAGGCCGCCTTCCCCCGCCCCAGCCTTGTGCGGGGCCACGCTGATGGTAACCTGGCGCTTCCTTGGCAACACCCCCTACAGCAGGTAGGTACCAACATCCCCCACTTCATAGACCAGGAAAGTAGAGGGAGGAAGTTTAACCTGCATGGCCAGCCCGCTTGGCCTGGAGGAGAAGAGGGGGTTTCAGAAGTGCAGGGCCCCCGCCCAGGCCAGAGATCAGCAAGGCAGCAGTGTTGGGGGTGCGGGCAGGGTGGTGGGAGGCCCTGCATGGTGCTGGCCGCCTGCTCCCGGGGCGGAGGGCGGAGAGTGGGAGGGAGGGGCACCAGTGTCCAGCCGGCTGGGTCCTCAGTGGAGAGGGTCCCTCAGGGCCCGACATGGGGCTGAGACGGAGGAAAGCTCAGCAGCGCTGACCCTGTCTTTATTTAAAAATCTGATACTTTGTTCATTGCACATTGTTTGCGTTCATTTTGTTTTTTTCAGACAGGGTAGTGAGAGGCGATTTGTGCCTGTGACCGAGGTTTTGGATGTCCCCTGACATCTGGCACCGAGGGGAGGGCCTCGCTCTCCTCACCCTGCACTGGACCACCTGTGGCCCCTCCTACAGGCTGGGCCTCAGGCTGGGACTGAGTCTGAGGTGCCAGCCTTGCCCTGTGGGCTCGCTGGCTCCGCGGGGCCAAGGGTCCATAGCAGTCCTCCGGACACCCACTCCCGGCCCTGACACCCCACCGGGCTCCTTGTGTGCTGCAAGCAGGTGGGGGGCGGAGGTCTCCACGAGGCAGGTGGTGCCTGTGGCACAGCTGGTGGGGCGTGCAGGGCGGCCTTCAGAGTGAGCTGGCGCTGCGGCTGCAGGGATGCAGGCGAGGGGGGTCCTTTCCGACACTTCCTGAGTGCAGGTTCCCTCTCATCCCCAAGCCTGGGCACAGCCTGACAAGACCCGTGGCTCTGGACCCCAGTTCCTCCCTGAATCACACTGAAGAAGCCACTTCAAAGGCAGGCCATGCCAAAGGTGGAAGAAGGGGTTTGGCCGCATGCCGTGCAGTGTCCGCGAAGATTTTGAACAGCCATAAAACCAACTAATGGTCCACGTATATTTTCCTCATCCCCAGGCGCTGTCAGCTCTGCACAACGCCCCCCAAACTTCGCCTCCCCTCTCGTTAATCCAAGTTCCAAGGAACCGAAACATAAGTAATATACTCAATTCTCCTTACTTGCAGTAGTTGCTACATTCTAGAAAGTTGCTGTGGACTGAAGTAGGACATACTGAACCGTTAGGTTCCTGCGAGCTTCTGGTCACGGCAGTTTTCTCAACCAATCAATAGATAACCTTGTTTTGATGTGTGTTTCCATCCAAAGGCACCTAATTTAACACATGTTGTTGGTTCATCAACATTGAACTCACAGTCAAGAGCATGTTACTCGCGCCTGAACAAAGCTCTTCTAACACCACGTTTTCTCCTTGGGCCTTCTGGTGCCGAGGACACAGGCAGCCCTTCAGCACTACCCTGGGGGACATCTGAAACGCTGAAGCCACCACCAGCACATGCAAAAACGTGGCACTGTGTGGACCCTAGAAATCATACTTGCTCGCCGTGCGACTAGGAGCAGAGGGTGGCCTTTTCCAGCTCAGCTGCAATGTGCCCATGTGGTGGCAGGGACTCAAATCACCCGTCTCTGCCACTCTCGTCAGTGAATGACCGTGAAAAGGCTGAGTACTGATGCAGGGGTCACAAGACATTGTAGAGAGAAGGTGTTGAGGACTGAATTGTGTCCCCCCAAACTCCTGTTGGCATCCTGACCCCCAGGGCCCCAGAACGTAACCGTATATGGAGATGGCCCTCCTAGAAGGTGGCCCTGGGTGCCTCTGAGCTGCGCTGTCCTCCCCGGGGACCGTGTGAGCACGCCAGCCTTGGCCCCTGTGCCCCATCTACACTCACTGTCTCTGGGCCTCTCTTCACCGCTCCCCAGCCCCACTTCCCGGAGAGCGACCGCCCCCTCCCCCTGGGCCCTGATGGAGACTCCAGAGAGGGCGCGGCTGGCCCCCGCTGGCCCCTCCCTGACCCACCTGGCCACCTTGGCCTGAGAGGCGGGTGAGCGGGCCTGAGGTGGGGAGAGGCCTGCAAAGCCAGCTGCGTCCAGTCAGGAGGCACATGGGACGGATGACTGGGGACACCGGGAGGTGATCATGAGGCACTGGCTCGCCCAGCTGCTCCCTGAGGAGACTCTGCTGTCACCACGGCTCTCCCAGGAGACGGAGGCCCAGGGAGCGGCCCTGGCAACAGGGACACAGCAGACCCGGTGGCCGCAGCCCAGCACACCTCCTTCAGCCCGGGGTGTCCGGCGGGCATTGCAGGTAGAAGAGAAAAAGGATACATTTTCTAAAAATCAAACACAGGAAAGTACGCTTCTCCTAAAACCGAGAAAAGGAATGGAAGCCAGAGGTGGCTCTGTTCATTCCAGACCCCACCGAGGTCCTGCCATGCCCGAGTGAGGCGCCCGGCCCCCCGCAAAGCACGCGAGCCTGAGGCGGGGAGGAGGCTCCCCGAGGGGTCGGCCCGCTGAGGAGTGAAGGGCGGTGGGCTTGAGTGTGGCCTCAGGGCAGGGTCCCAGGTGAGGAGGGCGAGCCGCTGAAGGAACCAGGGGACAGAGGGACAGGTGTGGGGCGCCACGGTTCTCAGACGGGTCCCCGGCGGGATGCGTCTCTGTGTGTGTCGGTGTGCCTGTGTCTGGGTGTCTCTGTGTGTGGTGTGCATGGGTGTCAGCACGTGTCCGTGTGCGGTGTGTATGTTTGCGGGCCATGAGCCACAATCCCTGAGATCATCTTTCTCCACTATCTAAACAAATCAAGACATGTCAGGAATTTTTGTCAAACCCTTGCAAAGCCCCACGGTAGGCAGGATGCGCGGCCGTCTGGGCGACCCTCCCAGACGCGCTGTCTGCTCTCTCATTGTGTCCGGCCGCCCGGCTTAAGCCTGCCCTCAGCCACTTGGCATTCCGCTGCCCGGGAGCTGACCGCGGTCCTTCACACACAAAGGCCAGCATTCGCTTTGTTTGCAGGATTCCTGTCACGCCAGCCGTCTGCCAGCACAGGCACAAAGCCCAGCACCCCGATTTTCCGCTCCAGGGCCCAGCAGGACTCACCCGCAAATCCACACCATATAGGCGATGGGCATTGTTGTGGGTCAGCGGGAATGAGGCCAGCTAAGCCCTCGGCCCAACTCTCTGTGAGGTCGGCAGGCGGCCTGGACAGCCCACTGCCAGCCCTATCACTGTCCTCAGAAAGGAGCGGGGGGTGGGGAGTGGCCACACCCCACCAGCGCCTTCCAGGACGATCGTTTAGCTATTTAGCCATCTTTCTCTTTACCTCTCCATGACCTACCTATCATCTGTCTCTTTGTCATTTATCTCTTGAACTGCCATCTAGCTACCTATCTATCTAGCATCTGACCTCTTTGTTGAGAAACTCAGTCTTTCCCAGGCCCTCGGCATTCGGTGAGCAACCTGCTTTCCGAGGAACCTGCCTTTACATGTCAATCTCATCTACAAACACAT